AGTTGAGCAAAAAAGATTATTGGTGGAGTAGTGAATCACATTAATTCACCTCAGCATTAGTTTGAAATAAAGTTTAATCCACTTTTCCTACTGATATAACTCATTGTATTGCATTATTAATTTTGAGTTTAGTGTTTAGATTTAAAAAATAAAAAAAAAAAGATCAACGTTTGAAATGGTATGTAGTACAATTTAAATTGAATAATTAATTGAGCAGACATAGAAATAGATTGAAATAAAATGTGTTTTTTGCTATATATATACTATTGAAAAGAATATGAGAACAGGGAGGTTTAGTTGAGTGATACCGATTTCATATCTGAATTCAAAATTTTCACTACAATCAATGGAACAAGTTGATATTAGTTTTGTTTAAAATTGAATTTTAAACTGAATGTACAAGTCAGTAATGAAATAATAAGTGAATTTGTTAACAGTTTCAAATAGTTAGTTAGTCAGTCAGTTACAACGTAGAGCTTCGTATATGAGTATATAAGTTCAGATTTCCATACCACAGCAGCACAGAGATATAATTCTCAATTCAAATCCAAGAGTGGTGGCGATGGTAGAAGTATTAGCAGTAATGGAGAAGATTAGGGTTTGAAGATATGATTCCAGAAGTAAAATTCAGTAAGATAAATTTAGAAAGAGAAAGACAGACATGATTAGGAATTCAGAAGGTTAGAATTAGAGAGAACACAAAGAATAAATGCACCGGCGCCATTGCAAACGATTCTGAGCCATGTCGTTCAAGGTCTCTAATCATTGGTGACCTACCTAACCAGGTAGGTAGTCTACATCTACCAACATGACTCAGTCCAATTGTCAATGACTTCATGGATTTTAAATAAATTATTGATGAGAGAAAAATAGTAGCCATGTAGACAAAGAATAAATTGAAAACTTATCAAACTGACATCATTAAAACAGTCAAAATTAATACAGAACATTGTGGGCAAATAAATTTGATTTAGTTAAAGAGTCAACATTATAGTATTAATAAATAATTAAGATTTTTTAATTCATATTGAAAAAAGTTGTTGTGAAAATCAGTGAAGTGGATTTGCATATACCAAAATTAATATAAAATATCATGAGAAAATTAGTTGACATAATATCATAGCAAATGCATAATTCCATTAGTTCTTAAGCATCTATTCTTACAGCAATTGTTATCTGTTGATTAACTTTTAAAAGAAATCATTTCAGTTGAATGTATTATGATAAAGTGTTATGACAATTAACAAACATTTTGGCAAAGAATCAGTGTTGTACATAATCAACAATAAAATTACATTATTTGTGAAAATTTTATTTGAACTTATCTTAACAATTGAAATGTTTAGATAATTTCAATGTTTTGTCCAACTATCTTGTTTCAACTTCTTCATGGTAATAAGAATCAAAATCAAAATTATCAAAGAATATCTAACGTTTAACAATCCAAACAAGTTTACACTAAATGTTTATCGAATCATATTCAGAGTAGATGTTGATTTTAGTAAGTAGGATAAAACAAGTCAAGTGAGATGTGAAAAGCTCAGTATGTGAAAAATAAATGAATATGTACATGTGTATAAATAAATTTATGCCGTCTAGTGCTTTCAGGTCTCGACTGGTGATCTAGCAATAACCTATTCTCAAATTCAAATGAAAAACAACAATCTTCCAGTCTACCGCTATGTCACAAAACATAGGTCGTCGAGGCAGTCGGTGGTCGGGCATGTGTAACACATATGACAACCTCCTCAACAGATGAAGATTCACTACTTCATCAATTGATCTGCCATCGTTACCTTGTACTCGTTCCCTAACAACAATATTGCTTACTCGATAGTCCGAGAATATACGAGAAATGATTCGATGACACGTATGATCGCAATGTTGCTAAAGATGGTCAGAAGACCCTGTATTTTGTTAGCGTCTTCACCAAACAGAAGTGGGAAGTTGGACGGTGAATGTGTCAGTGACAAAGTTGAATGAAAATGGAGAAAGTGAACAACCCTGACGAACACCGCGTGAAGTACTCGATTCCGATAACGGTTGAATATAAGTTCTGAATCGTCTAGTAGTGTTAGAGTAGACAGACGATACAAGGTTAATGTATTTCTTTGTTACGTCACTACCAAAGAACCCAACGATCGAAAAAGTCAAACCACACACTAAAGTCGAGTAATACAACTACTGTTACATATCGCTGCTGCTATTTCAATATCTCTTTCTTTCGCTAATCACCACTGCGCTTAAGCTGCTTTTGCTTCTCATTATGTTCAGAGCCAGACAAGATGAGTATACGAGCGTCTATCAGTTCAGTAGATGCTACTTAAATCCACTGATTTTCCGTATCCTTTAGGTTTAACTTACTGGCAGATAACACTGTTGATTACACAGCTTTCTGATCATCATTCTGAGCTGTTTTCAGGAAGGAATCATTTAGATGGTTAACTAAATGTTTCTCTAGTTGTGCCTGAAATGTACTTTTGGCTTAGCTATTGTTAAGCAGAACTCTAAGGGGTTTCTTTGCTGTGTATTTCTTAGGAGCTGTAAGCCGCAGATAAGGACGTGCTCCTGATCTGCGTCTAAACATGTGCTTCAGAGTGAGCGGCAGTGGCTGATAGTGGTAGCTGATAGTGATGTGATCTAGTTCGGTCTAGCGTTAAGTGAAGTTTGGGGGTCGGCATATCAACAGATGTCTTTTCATACGATTAAAGTTGGTATTTGCTAGAAATAGGGAGTTATTTGAGCATAGCTGCATCAGACGGTCGCCATTATTTGTTCGAACAGGCGCGATAGCATAAGATCCAACAAGGTGTCTTTTCTTTTCGCTTAGTCTACCTACATGAGCATTAATGTCGCTACCTCTCCGTTGGATGCTCACAATAGAAAATAACGACAATTAATTTATCCTTTAACGCAGTGTAAGCTAGATTGGATAGCAGTGGGTCAATCTGACAAAATAATACCTAAATTAAATTTGTAGACACGTTGCATTTAATCGATAGTATTCGATCAGTACTAAGGACTAGAAAAACATATAATTACTTATTGCTCAATTATAAATAAGTCAATCCTACAAAAATCTAGTAGTTACTACCCGGATAATTCATTATTCAAGTCTCTAACTATAACATTTGGTATTTTGGCTCAAAACTCACAAAGAGCATCAGTTCAATTAAGATTTTAGATATGGCTTGATCAAGAACACTGACTAGGATGAATATTAGGTCTTAGACTTCCAGTCGGTTGCTTCCAACCGTTAAATAACAGTAGCAGTTATAATTCATTTGGTTTGACTATACATTAATATATAATACTACACTACATATTAATACTTCATAGTTGCTGATTTCATGGTAAGTGGTCGATTTTTGAGTAACATTCAGTTAAATTTACTTGCTTCGGTATAATAGGTCATGAGGTTATACAATTTAAAAACACTAACTAGATCCAAAATATACTGCAGAATCATGATATGGTGTGTGTGTTTGTGATAGCAAGTTTCAATACAAAGTAACAATTTCGAACCATTAGAACTGCCACTTAATTAATTACCAGAAATATCACATAAAGTTTACAATCAGAAGTATGAATTCGTACTCGTATCTAAATTCATCAATATCGACCAACACTTTGATTTCACCTCTTTCACATAATAATATTTTGTAGAAAATATGTTCAATATAACATATCCCATAAGAGAATTTGAAAATGTATACAATTCAAAACTAACGGCAAATATGTGCAAACAACTGAAACTATCCAATATTCCTCAACATGACAGACAGACAGACAGATACAAAGCAGAACTTTGTACATAAGTACATCAGTTCAGGTTGCCAAACCACGTCAGCACAGAGACGTAACTGTCAGTTCAAATCCAAGAGTGACAGCGATAGTAGAATTATTAGCAGCAATGGAAAAAATTAGGGAGCGAAGATATGATTCAAAAAGTATAATTCAGTGACCGACCGTAGCTGCTACTTTGTCGTGATGGTCGGGCTTGCCTATCGTCATGACCCAACCGAGCTATATTGGATGCAACATATGTTTCTGAAGGTTCTACCATGCCAGACAGGTCGATTGGAGAACGATCAGACTAAAAACAGCTACTCAACGTCTGAGGGCGAAGTCGTACTGCTGACCGTGATGGAGGGGTGTGACAGCAGTAAGGTGTTTACCTCGGACAACCAGCATCTGCAGCGATACTGCCTTCTCACAAGGAACGAAGGGTTAGAAAAGGTCGACCCTAAAAATGTCACAACTCACCCTATCTCACGGATTTCCGTCTCCGGTGGTAAGGGTGCCCACCAAGGGCCTTTAAGAGCGGAGCTAATACTCAAAAATCCCTTTCATAAAAAGGCCGTGCGTGATCGGCCTCAAGCAGTTGTCCCTTGGGCTCTGCGGTCACGCACCCAGATCTGTAAGACCAACACTAATCTACCTTCCTTTTCAGGTCCCTCAAGAAACACCCTTCCATGGTGTGGGCAGCCGGTAAGTGACAACCGCCCTCATACCCGTAATAGCACAAGAGACCAAATTGGTCAAAATTAATTCCTCAACATGACAGGATTGTAAATAGTTTGAAGAAACATATATATACGATAAAACGATAACGTATATTATTTAAGGTTATGCAATTATTTACGGGTGTAATTATATATATTCAGCAATTAAATGACAGTATTTGTGTTGAGAATAACAAAACTAGGCAGTTGTGCAAACTAAAGTAAGCGGATGATTGACTTTTGAGAGTCTGAAACTTACCAGTTGAAAGTTGAACACTTTCACAACAAAGTTATCACTGATATCATTGATAAATGAATTTTTTAACTTGATAATGCGGTTACTAAATCTTATTTATTGCTAAAAAAAATTTAGGTAAAATTTCTCAATTGAACATGCAGATAGAAATCGACGTAAAAATCAAGAAAAAAGAAACTAAAAGCCTATAAGAAAACAACACCACAGGAACAAAAGCTTTTCTTTTTTTTAAAACCTACTTGTAAAAATTCTGACATATCGACTTGTCCATTCTTATTAACATCCATTGTATTCAATGTAGACTGTAGCACTTCTTCACTGACATTATCACCAGATTCCTAAAATATTTAAAATAATGAAAAAATATATATATATGTGTGTGTGCAAGTAAGAACTTTAACAAAAGTATTAGTTAAGTACAATTAGATTATTATTATTATAATTAGTCAACATACATGTAGAGTTTGATGAAAGTTTGCTTAGTGAGACAAATTCCACTGGGAATTGATTATCACAGTTGGATTATTGATTAATCAACCAATTAGTCATAAATAATTAAAATAGAAGCTGACACTTATCTGCATCAATTCAAGTTACCACACTACACTAGCATATTGAAATGAAATAACAATAGTAGAAGTAGTTAAATAGTATTAGATGATAGCAGAAAATATCTGAAGCATAAATAATAATATGCTGATAATTCAATATCGAATTAAACATAATATTAAATAAAACCATCATTATAATGAGAAGAGAATGAATTAGTGGAATAAAAAACAATCTAAAGCAATTTTAAAATCAGAGACTTAATAAAAGACGATGAGTGAATGAAATCGCTCCATATTGCACAAATAATTAGACATCAAAAAGGTGAGAGGATTGAAAATAGAACTGTTACGTCTGCACGTAAACATGTCATTTCGATATGCCTGAACTATTACGAGTTTTCCTAGTTGGAAAACGGGAGCGAGGATAGAGGATCCGGCGACACGACATGCTACTCAAATCCGATTATCCCAACCCCCATATTGAGTAAAAGTAAGATGACTTGATATGAAGTAGAACCAGTGTTTTACAAGCATCCAGAAAGTACGAGGTCCGAGTCCAGAAGAGAACCAGGATCCCGAACTAGGGATCCGGGACCGGGTCCTGGTCCTGGTCGCGGTCATAAAACGTTACACATAATGCGTATTTATACATTTTGGTCGAATAGGAAACAGCATGGAAGTCTGTTACATTGATAGTTAAGACGACCGATAGGTGGTAACATTTGAAGTGAGATTGATGGTAAGGACAACCAATAAGAAACAACAGTGGAGCACGAGACATTGATATCTAGGACGACCATAAAATTGACCAGTAGGAATTAACCAATAGGAACTGACTAATAATTCTCTTAGGATATTGGATGAATATCCTAACAAGAACGAAACAATTGATCACTGATTCCATATTTGTTTAATATTTTACCAGTTACTGTTAGTAAATGATTGAAATTGTATTCAGTTTCATTTGTCCAATTTATCAAATATATATATGTCGAAATAAGTGCAGTGAAAAAAAACCGTTTAAGCTGCTAAATTTCGAAGAAGAACTACCTAGGCAAGCTAAAAAGAAAACGATTGGAAGGTGAAATAGTTCATATTATTCAAACATACGGATAGGAATTGCAAATATAGTCAATGAATATAGAATTTGAGAAGAATTAAAGACAATTCAGTGAAGAAAATTATTTACTTAAGCTGTACAATCGTACTTAAAGTTAGTTTATTCACTAAACATAGTAGTAGTTTTACAGTGAAATAATATAAGCGTATTGTGGAATCATTTTATTCCTAAAATAGGGTTTCGTCAAAATAACAAAATAGTGACTTTCTTGCTTATTATACGAAACATTCATAAAATCGATTGCCTTGAAATTAATTACTTGAATGAATTGCACTTAAAATGAGACAAAAAGAAATCAGTATTAGGCGCATTCACTTACAAAATTATCATAATATTTATTGCGTAATTATCTAGTGCGTGATAATTGACAAAACACGTTAACCATAACCAATAAAATTCCACAAATTAAACTCATTAAAAAAAATTTGAGACAAAATAATCAGTGCCGAATCAAATTATACTATGACGTCCTTTGGGCCACAAAGTCTGTAACATCCAGTTACGTTTAGAAGCATCATACGAATCTTTTAGGAATAACCGAAATTAATGAATTGTGAGGATTATTGAGTTTGTAGTTTGACTGAAGTTAAAAATCGAAACCACAGGATGTCAACCCAAGGATTTGAAGGTTAGACGCTTGTTGTGACGTCGGAAAGTCATAGGTACAATCCCTCATACAGTCATGGATGGGTAATGGTGAGAAGTAATATACTAATACTAGAACGATACGGCTGTCTATTGTTTGCTGGATTTCAATGGTTGTTTAACCATGATGTGTAACTTTAAAACGAACTAAAATCGTTACGAGATTTGACACTTCTCGTGTTGAGAGAACTGTCTTATTACAACATATAACTGGATTAGTTAATTTAAAATATCCTTTGTTTAGCGCATACCTGATTATCTTTGAATACTTTTCAGTTGACTGAATAACCAACTGGAATAATAAAGCCTACACAACTATCCTACGACCATAGTAAATAGTAGTCAGTTACATTTCTAAACGAAAAAATAACCAGAGACCATTTTTAATCCGATAAAAAATCCCATTGTGTTTCAACAACACACTGTTCATATAGAGAAAGAAATAAAAACATTTGTTACTGGACGTATTTCATAATAAGTGGTTAGTTACTTTTATTGGCGCGAATTTGAATAGTTAACATTTCCAACAAAAATTGAATCAGTAGTAAATCTAGTAGACAGCAAAACACTATAAAAAAATATTTCTAAAATGTCAATGGTATAATAATCAATTTCAATACAAAAAAGAGAAAAACAAAGTATAAAGAAATTTTGGGTTTAATGAAAACTTACAGTACAAAATTTGCGTAAATCATCCAATGAAACATATCCTTTTGTATCATGATCAAGTTTACGGAAACTTTGTAAAAGATGACCAATTTCATCAATAGTCAAATCCATACGAACACCTTCCATGACACGTAGACTAAGACCCATTTCAGATTTTAAGAAATTCTGTGAAAATTTAAAAAACATGTCTATATAGTTTAGAAAAATGTATTATCAGTTTTTTTTTTAAAAAAAAAGGAATGAATAAAACTCTAGACACACTTGAAATAAACATCGATCAGAAATCGCTTATGATATATGACGTAATACACATTTACATTACAAAAGTAAAATGAGAGACGTCCTATGTGTTAAATCTATAATAAATTATACATTGCATATAAAATAAGATTTTTTGAAATTTAAGATTTAATTTATGAAAATAAGAAGCTTTTGGAGACTGTTCAGCTTATAAATAGTTTGCATGATGGTCTAACTTTAGCCTGAGAACTGCTGGAAACCCGAACACATTGAATAGGTTTAAATTTACATTGAAATTTCATAGCCCATAACTTGAGGAAGGAGAGGACAGAGAGTAGCGAATCTTCTCAACGATTATGTTAAACCGGAATAACCAAATTCATGATCTAGTGATTCCAATGTTTCAACTTTGTTCATTCATCTTCGTCAATGAAACATATCTCACTTGAGACATGCTCAAAGCCCGTTATTCATTTGTCGGTACTAGCATATTTCGAAAGCGCTCTGCACAACGCACATGGTTATTATAAAAATGGGTTTGTAAAGACTATTCAATGTAGACGTTGTCACTGACTTTCAGATTGCTAATGAATTCGATCTATAGTAAGATTGTAAGTATGTACTAGAGAATAGTATCAATGCATGAAAAAATAACTATCCAACTTTCTTTAAGTATTATTTATTCCTCAGTTGGAGTAAGTCCATAATAAATAATATCTCTAATTTATAACTAAATCGAAGTCAGTCATCACTTAATATCTTTTCTGTAATAAGGAAAAGTGTAAGATATAGTAATCAATCCTATAGTTTTGTAAATTGACATTAGGATGAAACTTTTGATTATAACAGCATTTTGACATAGGCCTGTTTTTTAAAGTTTTAGGAGAGACAACTTCAAATCAATACTTTTCTATTGGAAATTAATTGAACTAAACATAAATTATAACAATTTTTCTCGCCTGAATTAGTCTACGAAAAATGTACATGATTCAAGAAAAGTCGAATTTCAAAATGCATCAGCGATTTCACATACACAGAGATGATTTACCATTTATTTATAGCCTAATGATGATTAGACATCTACCCAGAATGAGTTGGTCTGTTAGTAATCAGTAATCTATTTCATGATGGACAGCCACAAAATGCCGTGGCACGGCTGAGAGTGGGGAGAGTCCACTTTCTCTCTCTAAATGCTCCCCTATGGCAATGCTGTCAAGATAAAGAAGCAGCTCGATTTACCCTTCGTGTATCCGGTAGCCCTGATGCTGCTTCTAGGGGCCTCGCCGGTGTAGGTATAGCATTGAGTCGTAGGGCAGAACAATCTCTCCTTGACTGGATCCCTGTAGATAGTCGCTTGTGCGCCGTCCGACTGAACGGGACAGTAAGGACTCGGAAAGATAGGGACACTCGCCGTTGCCTCTTCGTCATATCAGCCTACGCCCCCACTGACTGCAGCCCAGATGATGTAAAAGATGAGTTTTACAGAAAGCTTTCGGACCTCCTCCAAAAAGTTAAGCGCTCTGATATAGTTATAATGGTTGGTGACTTCAATGCACAAGTAGGTAGACTAAGTGAAAATGAAAGACACCTAGGTGGATGTTACGGTCTCGCGGCTCAAAGAACAGACAGTGGCGACCGTCTGTTGCAACTGTGCTCAGATAACCAACTATTTCTAGCAAACACTAATTTTAAGCATAAGGAAAAACACCTTTTGACCTGGCGACCCCCAAAGTCGTCTCAACGTTGGACACAACTAGATCATATCGCCATCAGCCACCGATGGAGGGGTTCGATAGAGGACTGTCGCTCGTTCTGCGGCACATGTTTAGATTCAGATCATGCCCTAGTGCGAGCACGTATTTGTTTGAGGCTTGCTGGACGTAGGAAAGACACCGTAAGGAAGCCTCTTAGGGCTTTACTTGATGGTGATGAAGCTAAGAAAATATTTCAGGAGGAACTAGAAAAACAGTTGGGCGATCATGCAAGTGATTCCCATCCGGAGTCAGGTTGGAATGATATAAAGAAGGCTGTGGAAACAGCAGTGATATCTGCTAGCAAGGTAAACCATAAGGCTAGGATGAAGCCGTGGATTTCAGTCGCATCCACCGAACTGATGGATGCTCGAAAACGCATCCCACCTGACTCTGAACATGATGAAGAGCGTACTCAACTTAGGTGCAGACTTTTAAAAAGCCTACGTAACGATCGCGAACAGTGGTGGGTGGCGAAAGCAAAAGCGATAGAAAAGGCAGCGGCGATAGGCAACAGTAGACAACTTTTCCGCCTTATTAAAGAAACCGGTATTAGGAACCCGAATGTAAGTGAGACTATCTCGGAAAAGGATGGTCTTATTATCCATTCTCAATCTAGGAGGCTGGACCGATGGGCAGAACACTTTACGGATCAGTTCAACTGGCCTTCAGCCACTCTTCGGTTGCCCACGATCTCCAGTCATCCTGAATGGCAAATCGATTTAAGTCCTCCCAGTTTACATGAAGTTCAGAAAGCTATAGGAAATCTAAGGAGAGGTAGAGCGGCAGGTCCCGATAGGCTTACCCCTGAGATGTTTAAGGATGGTGGTCCAGTTTTAACGGTTAAACTGACCGAGATCCTAGGTAGAATCTGGGAAATGGACGTAATCCCATCTGACTGGTCTCAGTCGCTAATTGTCCCAATCTACAAGAAAGGACAGAAGTCCTCTTGTGACAATCACAGGGGAATAAGTTTAACTAATATAGTTTCTAAATTGTTAGCCTCGATTATACTTAGACGTCTAACTAGAGCTCGCGAAGAGCAGACTCGAGAAAACCAGGCTGGTTTTCGACCTGGACGTGGTTGTATAGACCACATCTTCACACTACGACAGGTCCTGGAACACAGACACACATTTAGACGTCCGACAATAGTCGTGTTCCTGGACCTTAAGGCGGCATTCGACTCAGTGGATCGTGAGGTTCTGTGGCAGTGTCTGTCATTGAAAGGTGTACCAAAGAAGTACATTAACCTTATACAAGCACTCTACTCGAACACCACTGGTCGGGTGAGAGCATATGGCGAACTGTCATCTGAATTCTCTACATCAAGTGGTGTCCGTCAGGGCTGCCCACTCTCTCCATTCTTGTTCAACTTTGTCGTAGACATCCTCTTAGAGTTAACATTAAGCTCGTCAGATTTTTCAGGGGTTGACCTTCTACCAGGAAAGTCGCTTACTGATCTAGAATATGCCGATGACATAGTTCTATTCGGTGAAGACGCTGACAAAATGCAGAGTCTTTTGACCACCATAAGCAACAATGCGAGCATGTTCGGGATGCGGTTTTCCCCCTCGAAATGCGAAATGTTGCTTCAAGACTGGGTTGCTTCGGCACCTGAACTAGTGATAGGGAGTGAAGTAGTCGAGCGTGTAGATCACTTCACTTATCTGGGGAGTCTCATCAGTGCTGACGGTCTGGTGACTGACGAAATCTCAGCTCGGATACAGAAAGCTCGATTGGCTTTTGCCAACCTGCGTCACTTATGGCGTAGGCGTGATATCCGTTCGCTAACCAAAGGGCGGGTGTACTGCGCAGCAGTTCGTTCCGTTCTCTTATATGGCTGTGAAACATGGTCGTTAAGAGTAGAAGATGTTCGTAGGTTACTAGTATTCGATCATAGATGTTTAAGAAGCATTGCTCGTATATCGTGGGACAGCCGAGTAAGCAATGCTGTCGTTAGGAAACGAGTACTAGGTAAGGATGGCAGATCAATCGATGAAGTGGTGAAACTTCATCAGTTGAGGTGGTTGGGACATGTGTTACGTATGCCTAACCACCGACTGCCTCGACGAGCTATGTTTTGTGGTGTAGGAGTAGGTTGGAAGAAAGCTAGGGGCGGCCAGACCAAAACATGGCACAAATCCATGAAGTCCCTGACAAATGGACTGAGTCATGTTGGTAGATGTAGACTACCTGGTTGGGGTCCGCGAGACGAAAGTCATCAATGGTTAGAGACCTTGAACGACATGGCTCAAAATCGTTTGCAATGGCGCAGGTGCATCCACTCTTTGAGCTCTCTCAAATCCTAATCTTCTGGAATCGTCAGCACCTCTACCTTTGTCTTTCTAACCTTATCTCACTGAATTATATTTTTTGAATAATATCTTAAACCCTAGTCTTCTTTATTATAACATTAATACCTCTACCATCTTTATCACCATGGGATTTGATTTGACATTTGCGTCTCTGTGCTAATAATGTGGTATGGCAACATGAACTTATGTACATACGTACGAAGTTCTACGTTGCAACTGACTGACTATGGCAATGCGTATCTGCTTACTGCCGGGGAAGTACTACGTTCTTATTTCTTGTGGCACAAGCATTGTTTACGAAATTTAGAGGACGGAAGCGAGTGTTCGGCGCTTTACACCGGTTGGTGAATACGAAGTTAGAAAACCGTTATTCTAAACCATCGGTGCACATCGGCTTCAGGATCCTAATGGAACGAATGGCGTATGAACCTACTGGGACTGCATCTCCCTACGTTGCCTCACTGCCTTTTGGATTGAACTTTTAGGTCAAAGACTCAGGGTGTGGCACCCTAATAAAACCATCTGCTTTGATTTGAGCGTCCAGTCACGAATTCACTAATTTGTGTGGCGTGAAAGTACGTAAGTGCTTCTTTGTACTAATGTTTACGTGCTTAAATAAATCAATAAATGTATAATCCTTAATGTTGACCGAATCCTACTGCTGAACTCACTCATCAAAGATTGCAAACACACTTTACTTGTAAGTGAACAATTAGCAGGAAACATACATACAAGTTTTTATGTCTATCGGATTTCACTCATCTAACCTCCATTCAACTAACCTAATAAAACATTCCAACATAACGGAAATGTTGGAGATGAGTAAAAAGTGATACACGTGATGAAATCAATTGAATCCCTGAATAAATGAATGAATACAAGCCACTCATAAAGTTGTTTTTTTTTGGGCATGTGCTGATTTCATAAAGTTTCTCGGAAAATAAATTTTCTCCAAGCTTTAATTATTCACTACAATCAGCTATCGATTGAAAATTTATTCCGTTAAACTTTTCTTTTGATAAAAATCTACCGATGACACAAATAAGAATTAGCAACAATCTAGTTTTTAAAAAGCAGATATATTTATAAACTCATTATTATATAGGGGAATGAATGAAGTGAAAACTTATGTTTCTATTAGAAAGGTTTATATAATTAATTATCCTTGACCTAGATGATTTTTATCTATGAAGCTTTCACAACCTTGCTAGACAATAATAGCATCAATATAAACTCTAGAGAGAAGTGAGATAATCTCTATATACCAGCCACAATGTGTGACTCGCTTTCGCAACAGTATTATCCATTAAAGTAGGAAAATATGAAGAATAGGCAACAAACAATTTAGGATGTAGCATACCTTTGTAACATTCCAATGGAAAAAGGTTACTGTTCAGTAGAAAATTCCCAAATAACTACTATGTAGTACATTCATAATAAATACTATAAATATGGTTAGATGATCACTTTTCTTAAATCATTAATCAACTGACTGATTGAATCCATTCTCAACTATTGACGATAAATTAATTCCTTAATAAAACCGAAATTCATATGATTCTTATGTTGTTGAATGTGTTATTTTCTCTACAAACTACCGTTCAAAAAAAACAACAGGACGCATCATTACAAGCGCTCTATGCTTTGATTTTAAGACACATAAAAACTATGCAAACGAATCATACGACTAAAAAGTACACAAAATTATCAATGTTATAAGGTAACAACAACACGTGAGGGAAAAATTTGGTACACAACTATGGGTAACGGAATTTATACTTATCACTGAATGATATTTCTTTAGAAAGGAGAATATGTAACAATGACTGTTGATTCAAAGACGGTTTACATATGAATAACGTGAAGAAAAGCAACCAAAATCAATTATACACTAATTCGGCAAATTTTATTTCCTCAACTCCTTTCAACAGACTGTCGTTGTTTTCAGTGACCTGCTAAATACTTCCTACTGAAAACTAATGACAGCAACTTTAAATCACTTAGTCAACAAATATTAGTAGCGTTTCTTATTTAGAATTACACATTATCAAAGATCCTTTCACAAAATAATCAGGTACCAACAAACATTGTGGTACTTCTTTATAATACTAAACAAACTAATTTTCAGGATATATGGTATGTGAATAACAGTGAAATACAGGACAAAACGTTTCATCCTATGTGCGGTTTTTTGCAGATTCATGTACCTTCAGACTAGTATTGATATTTACACTCAGAATTGAATCTCTATCATTCGTCTCAAACTTATGTTATCGACTAAACTAGTGGAGAAGAGTAGGTTTGTAATATTCCATTGTCGATAGTCCGTACTTCAATGGATCAACCTCGGCTATCATATATGCACCCTGAATGGATCACTTCGGTACCATACGATAATATACGAATTGTAATCAAATAAAGCACTACACAACTATGAATAAAAAAAAGTCTGCAATTTGTTTTTAAATTCTATGTACATTGTAATATAATAAGTAATGTAGAATAGAAAAAATATTAAACCAGAATAAGGTTTGCCAACCCAACAAGAGATAAGCAATATGGTGAAAATACTAATCTGCTTTATTAAATGGTAATGTGTCTTATACCTAGTGTATGACATATTTATTGACTTGAAAATCATAGATATAGAATATCCTATTGTTAAACTGTGAGTTTTCAATGAATTAGATAATTAGCGAAGTCGACTGAAGGTGTAGAAAATTCAGTATGTTGAGAATATAAATCAATATTTTATTTTCAAAACTAAAGTTTACCTCAGCCTCTTCCAGTTCTTGTTTTTTCCTTTCACTACTCCATTTTAAATGTTCTCCCATTAAATCAACAATTCTAGGCAAAGCTTCTTCAGCAGCTCGTACATTCAAAAATGCTAAACGTGTTCGTCGAGCAAGAAAATCAACCACATGACAAGCATATTCTCGGCATGCATATTCAACCTTAAGATATTCAATAATAAAACAAATGAAACAAAGGTAAATTTGATGTGTAAAATTGTTGTGAGTAGTGATTTTTAATCGATTGAAGTATAAATAACACACATGAAATTGATTTTTTTTTAATTTTTTTTGCTGTGTAATATGTAATCACATTCTGATAAAGAGTAAAATTACTAAGTAACTTAGTTCTAAATTATGGCATAGAAACACTTAATTGTATGATATAGTGAATATGTGTTATCGATTAAAAATGATATTAAATAGGACTTAGATTTATGTACACAGATCTGAACAAACGAAACGAAAGTTCGTTGAACATTCTGATTTATTCTGAAGGTGAAATAAATCCTTATCTATTGTTGCCGTGTTTGCATTCAAGTCATCCAATTCACGGTATTCCAGTACCAAATATCACGTAAGTTAGACGCTCTATACTTCACTTAACTATTCCTAAATCAGAACAAGAATTGAGTGTAAGCAATCGATATTCTAATGAACTCAAACAACAAAAATGCGGTAGTGAAATGTCAGTGTTTATGTAGGATTTACATGAGAATACTTTAGTATATAGACATGTCCACTAGGACTGATTGATTAGAAAATAGACTAACTAGAATGTTTTCGTTTGAACATGACACAAATGTGAGATAATTAGGATATCACAGCTTGCTAACGGCATATCTCGAAGTCCCACTGATGCCTCCCGTTGCTTCACTTGTATGGTTATGGCACTGAGTTCGAAAGCAGAAAGAGCACTCTTAGACTAGATCCCGATGACATAGTCCCTATTTGGTGAAGACACTGACAAAATGCAGTATTCTGACCATCTTAAGCAACAACGAAAGCATATTCGGGATGTGATTCTCCAAATGGAAAATTTTACTTCAGGGTTGGCTTGCATCGGCACCTGAACTAGTGATACGGAGTGTGAATTAGTTGGACATATCGATCGTTTCACCTATTTTTGGAGTCTTGTCAGTCCTGATAGTCAGGTGTCCTATGAAATCTCGGCACGAATACACAAGACCCAATGGGCTTTTGCTAACTTACGTCACCTGTCAGTCAGTCAGTCAGTCAGTTGCAACGTAGAACTTCGTACGTAAGTATATCAGTTCATGTCGCCATACCACATCAGCACAGAGATATAATTGCCACCTGTGGCATACCGAGATATCCATTCTGCTATACGGGTGTGAAACATGGTCACCAACAATAGAGGATATTCGTAAGTTACTAGTATTCGATCAAATGTGCCTTCGAGGCAGTGTTCATGTATCCTTGGACCAAGGAGCAAGAAATACTGGTGTTGGGAAAAAGGTACTGGGTATAGCTGGCAAATTAAATTATGAACGAGTGAATCTTCATCAGTTGAATTGGTTGGAACATGTTTTGTGTATGCCCAGCCACCGAATATGTCAACGGGCGACGTTATTTGATGTAGGAGTAGGCTAGAAGTTAGGGGCAGCCAAACCAAAACACTGCACAAATCCATTAAGTTGAATATTACTTGAATACCGCTAATACTGCTACTATTACCTCTTCTACTATCCCATCTGAACTGACAATTCCATCCGACTATGCCAATGTGATATGGAAACTTAGGCTGATGTACGTACACATATGAAGTTTTACGTTATAACTGACTGACTAGCAGATAAATGATACTAAAAAGATGAAAGTATTTTGAAATAAGAGACTTTATGATAGTGTTGAAATTTTCTAACATATTCCTTAACTATTAATAACTACACGGCAGAGCATGCCTATGTAGAAGAAGTGAAAGTAGTTTCACAGAAAATAATAGCACTAAATATTTTGTCATTCTACTTAACAATTTTATGACACAACATGAACTTACTTCAGCTTCAATAAATGGAAATTCAGGATGTAATTTTTTACCCAATATTGGCCATCTGAAACCGGTTAATTTTGACATATTAGCTATAGTAATAGCTTTATCACCATAAATGCCAGTTAAATGACGTGCTACATCGACATCCATACCATATTCTTGAACAATTTGTATGAATAAATTCGGTGACCAACCATGAGCACCTTCTAAAAGAAGACCTTTAGTACGACATGCACTAGTTGGTTTAAGACCACAAACCTGGATAATAAATTAAATGAAATGATTTTCCATAAATTTTTGCATATTTCACTTTTAGAAACAAAAAGAACATGTCACAGGTAGTAGTCATTCTAATTATAATCAGTTATTAAGTGGATAAAATGTGAAAATGCATAACGTTTTTTCAAATTGTGCTAACCAAGAAGCTGAAGGATTTGACTTTTAACCAAGTCTTGTGGTTTCATTTAATTCAGTTGAAACAGCAGCATTGTATTAGTTAACTTCACTCAAACAATGTGACTTGAAACCAAGTACATAAACATGTACTTAGTAACTGATTTACTGTTTGTGAAATTGCAACTGTTATTAAAATAATAAAAAAACAGAACTTGTTTAATTACCTCAATTGCTTTATCCACAGTCTCTTCTGCCATACTTCTATAAGTTGTCCATTTACCACCAGCAATTGTTATCAGTTTAGATGGTGAAACATTAATAATATGATTACGTGCAATCGACTGTGTATCAGATGAATTCGGATCTCGAACAAGCGGTCTAATACCTGCCCAAGCTGACAATACATCACCACGACGAACTGTTAAAACAGAGAAATAAATGTACCGAGAACGAAGATAAGTAATTTGAAAAACATTACATAACAAACATTTCAACACAAACATTAGTCATGATGAAGTAACACTAGTTAGGTAAAACTATTTTTGTCCAAGTGTGTTGCCTTGTACTACTTATTAAACACTGAAATGTATGAATGTACACAAGAGTGTGAATATTACATCAACTGTGAAGATTTTATCTTTCAAAAAAATGAAATATTGACCGAATGGCAGGCAAAAAATAATTTCGTTACATTCCTTTTATTGAAACGATCAAACAACTGTTAAAAGCTTGTCTAACTTCAGAATCAAGATATCGAATTAAGTTTAACATACTTACAGATGTCAAAATGGTGCGAATGAGGTGTGAAAACACATTTAAATAGAGTTTTTTAAAAAATGGTTAAAAAGTATGCTGTAGTTATGCGTAAAATACAAAATAAAGTGCCTAGAACATGAACTATGGAAGTAGTAACAAAATATAGTACGATCAAAGTGATGTGCCTATGTACGGAATCAATGAAATACATAATGACAACAACTGAAAAACATGAATTAAGATTGTGAACTAGGAAGCTGATATGATGATAACATAACGTAATCATTAAAAAGTAGAAAATTAAGTCGACTCATTCATTCATCAGGAACTTGGGTATGAAGTACACTTTAAGTGTGAATGTTAGTGATACTGATCAGTTACCCAAATCAAACTCAGGGAAGTAAGATGTAAATTAGGGACTTAACAGCTAAAAGTCGGACACTACAGAGCCACTGTTCTATGTTATCAGAAAACTGATATTTTCTGTGAGAATCTGAACTTTATTAACAAGTATCATGGTATTACCGAGTTATCTGGGTCGTTTGGTTCTCTAGAATATGGAGTAAAAGTATAAGTCTTAAAGATATGTACACAGAACTCAAACATGGATAGCATTCAAAAAGCACTTTACGCAACCGCAGATTTACACAGGTATAAAATAATAAAAACGCCCAATGCTATTTATTATACAAGCACCTGAAGAACAATTTTTCATTAAAAAAAAGTAAAAAATAAAAAACTACCTTGAATTTCTGGTGAAAGATAACTGCTAATTTCTTCTAAGATAAAGTTTACTTCAGCTTCAGAAGGAGAAGGTTGATCGGTAAGATTGCATTCAGTATCTGTAGTACCAGCAAGTGCATAATTCATCCATGGTAAAAAGAAAATTACACGGCCATCACGTGTATCTGGATCTAGCAAACCCATTTTCGTAGGGCTACAGAAAAATAATTCAAAGAGAGATAAGACAGCATGCAAGTGATTACGTTGAAATTCATGAAACAAATGTACGAAATATTGAAAAATACAATAAAAGGTGAAACTCGTCGAAAACTCTTAACATTAATGATAATTTGCAGAAAATTATTTAAATACTTATTAGATTTATGAAAAATTTAGGATGTTAACGCATTCTAAAGAGTAATTTATCGAAATAATGTAAGGTGTACGTTGAGGATTTTTTTGACTATACATAGAAGTTATTAGAAAAAAGAGATTTTTACAAGAATAAAATTTCTAGTTTGTTTCCAAACAACAAACACTTACGATTCACAGATTAAATGGTAGTTATTAGTTAACACTAATCACCACATAATTAGAGGAATTTGTGCAACATTTGGTGTTGATGATGATGAGAGAGTCAATCAAGTCACAATAAGTTATATCATCATTCATAAGTGATAGCCTAGTGGTTAAGCTGTTCAGCCAAGACGTCAATGGTTCGAACCTTGCTCTACCAAACTTAGCGTAACTGAGTAGTATCGCAAAAACTCATAACCAAGATTCTGACGAATCAATTTATTTAATTTTAAACTACTTTGATACCATGAACATCAGCTTACTGGTTAAATTTTAATAACACTTCTGAATATATAATACTACCTTTTGAAATAATGTAATCTAGCACTGTAAGTCAGCTACAACGTAGAACTTCGCACATACGAAGATACATATCACATTAGCACAGAGGGATGAAACTGTCAGATCAAATCTCAGATTGGTAGAGGCAGTAGTCGTAGAAGATTCGAGAAAATATAAATCAGTCAAATAAATCTTTAAGAAAAAGTCACGAAGAATTCTGAAGATTAGAATGAGTGCACTAGCGCCATTGCAAAAAAATTTTGAGCTGTCATTTAAAGTCTCTAACCACAGGCTACAATTGCCTCAACACCCCGACCAGATAGTTCACATCTATGAACATGGATTAGTCCGATTGTCAATGACGTTATGGTTTGGTCGCCCCAAGCTTTTATCAAACCTATTTCTATACCAGACAGAATCGACTGCCGAAGTAGTTGGTGTTTTGGCATATGTAACACAAGTCACAACTACATAATTTACCAATGAAACAAAGAATTTATGTCCAAAAGATAAACTTTTAACCTTTGCTAGAGTTTGAGTGACAAGTCTGAAATTGGAATTCTATACAGAATGGTTGAATTTTTTAAGGTTAAAAATTCATAGCTATGTCTACATTACCGGTACTAAAGTATGAAAAAATCAATTTATCATTAAAATTTTGTTAAGCAATTAAAAATAAAAAAGAAACTGTATTCAGTCCTTGTTTTTTAAAACTAATTCACAACGTAAAATAAAATAATGAAAGTATCTTTATTTGAACTTGATCACATGAATAAAAGAACTAGAAACTAAATAAAATCTCACAGAGATATGTTGTGGTCTATATCAACAAATCAACTCTTTGAAGTCAATTCAAATCTACAATAGAACCGCTTAAAACTTACACAAATGTCACAATGTATAAATATGCGTTTATTTTATTTAGAAAATAATAAGATAATAATTTGTTCATCATGTAATTAATTAATTAACAGTTTGAACAAATTTAAATTGTTTTCAATAATTAATTACTTGACATTGATTATATGTATGGTTTTTACAACATTTTACGATAATATGACGAAACGTGAATAAATCCATTCAGTTTCAGGATTTTTTTTCGAAAACTCTATCATATGTTACCATACATAGAAACAATTCTCTCCCTCTCTCTCTCTCTCTCTCTCTCTATATATATATATATATATATATATATATATATATATATATATATATGACCTTAAAATAAAACAAGTATGTAGTGTTAGGTAACAAGTTCAGTTAAAGTAGATTTGTAAAATGACACATTCCAAGTCAGCATGATCATTAACTATTAAAAAGTATACAGAAAAATTAAAAGGATCATTGATTTTAAGTGAAATAAAGAACGTTTTAGTTTAAATTGAGAAAGAAAAGATTGTTATCAGATATAAAATTATAAAAGATGAATGCTATTTCGATTTTATTGAAATGATATACCTTCTAAATAATTTTGAGAATATTTTAAAAAGATGTAAAAGGTGGCCAGCAGTAGCATGTCCACTGAGTGCCTTTTGGGACTCATCAGTTCAATATACTAGCATACAAATGTTAACATTCACACCAGCAATCAAACATGATAATTTTTGCTTCAGATATCAGTGGATCATCTAACAATGTAGCTAGATCGTGGTAATTCACAAAAGCTGCACTTATGCCACCAACAAAGACTCATAAGAAGTTCAGTTCAGAATAAAACAAGATAATTGAAAACCTTGCTAATTACGACATACTAAAAGAATTATATTTAAACAACCCTCCAAACATGAAAACTTCCGACATGTACCATCAAGTATCACAGTTCGAGAAGTCACCGTTCATCTTATTTAGGCTTTACAGTAAAAAATAAAGTACGTCGAAATGTTGGATCAATCAGGATCACAGCTACACTGAAATTTAATCGATAGGATTCGATTAGCGCTAAGAGTTAAACAATTAAATATTGATTGAAACTAATTGACCGAATTATGTAAATTTTAACAATTTCATTTTCTGAACATTATTCTTTTCTAGTTATATTTTGTTTGGAAAGGCTTTACTATTTAAGTGAAACAAAGAAGAAATAGAATAACTAGACTCAATCAACTAAACAAACATCATTATTCGAAACGTTACACTTGTTATAATGTGATTTGGATTTGCACCAAATAGTTTTAGAAAATAGTAAAAATTCAATAAACTGAGGAGAAACGATGAGAAAACAAGTTAATTAAACTATGAAATTATAAGCACTATGCGAATGCAAACATTTTAAATTTGACGAGGCACAGTAGAAATTGAAGCCACAATGATACAGACGATAGTTCGTTATGCATTTTTATTACGTTTAACTTGTTTTCAATAGTATATCATTATTAGAAAAGGTCTGAATGACCGTATTATTGATATCCGATGAACAAGATAGTGAATATCATTGAAATCTCGAGTTGATCAATGTCAGATTACCATTGGAAACCTGGAAGCACTGAATGGCCGTTTCGTTCTAGTATAGGACTCATAAACAGTGTGCATGCACGACAAATTTAATTTGATGGACACTGCTGATAAGTCCTATAATAGGACGAGACGGCCGTACAATGTTCACAGGTTTCCAATGGTGGCCTCACATTGATCGACTCATGATTTCAATGAAGCTTAATAATCTCCGGAACTTTGTGATGGCGCTTAGTGAATACTTGGACTGAATTACAAGCTCAATGAAATGTAGGAACGGTTAGAGCTAAATGTACGGTGTTTGAGGTCGAATGTGAATGGCAACAATGGAATGCAGGCATATTCAGCTAGTGACTTCCGAATAGCATGAAAATGTACATCCTTGATTCCACTGCCAGCTACAATCCATCTATCATATCAAACTATATTCAGTTGTTTATAACATTGACCAAGTATTAACTCAGCAAGAAGAAAAAGAATTTAAGCTTGTGTAGCGTTAAGTTCTAATGAAAAAACCCATCCACAATCTGAATTGATCTAGCACATAATAAGTAAAATTATCAATGAAAACTAAAAAACTTTAAAACAAGTATCTGAACATTTCGGCAAGCTATAAAAATGCTGATAAAATCTTTGAGGATTCAATGTACCAGAAAAGTAAACTTGTTTTCTAGAGACTGAACTAAGAAAATTGACCAACATGTAACAGACGCCAAGTTGATTGTATTTACTACTGAAATCCACATTCATTTTTATTATAATTTTAAATTATGATATGTTTCTGAAACACATAAACCTGGTGAAATGATAGAAAACAGTCACTAGTGACTGTTTTCTATCATGAGGAAATTCTCGGAGTACTAGTCAGAAGCCATGATTAGTGGAGTTCAACCCTGTTACTGAAGACGATGGGTAGGGTTGCGTGATACCCTGGACTGATTAAAGTTAGGCACTAACACCGTTGGGTGCCGGCTCAGTGGTCTAGAGGTTAAGTGATCGTGCATGAAACAGGTTACGGTTAGGGTTGAATTCGCGCGAGCGGGGGAAGTGGATGCTCATTGCTAATGAGTCTCATACTACGACAAAACGGCCGTCCAGTGCTCCCTGGTTTTGATTTGTGGTTTAACAATGATTGATTCGTAATTTCAATGATACTCAACAACCTCCATAATCATATAGTGAAAAAACCAAAGCTTAAGGTAAACATTCTTGGAACAGAAATAAATTCAGTGTTCCATTTCACATATTGGTGGATCAGTCATTCAGTTAACCAAACTAATAAAAGTGCTTACTTACGGAGAGCAATAAAAGTACAATATTTCCAAGTATAACAACACTGCTATTGGCTTATAGGTAAGAGTTCTGTGTATAGAGGACAAAAATTATTCCTACCAATGAACTTCAGTCACATGATCGAATTTTATCTGATACAAGTTATGTTCATTATGGCTAACTGAATCAAAGTTGCCTACTTTTTTTCCCTTGAACACACATTCACCTACCATTCTGTCAATGTTATTCATTAGAATAAAAGTTATGGACATGATACACGTGATATACAACAGTGATCGATTATATGACGTTCGATGGTAATTTTTCAAAATGAAATAAATCATGAAGAAAAAAAGTGGACAGTGTAAATTATCATTGGAAATTGATTGGACAAGGAAATTTTTTAAGACTGAATTTTTAACTGAAATGAACTGGGTGGAAATATAAAGTACAAGAATAACTTTGCGCTATTTGTTTTAGCTAACGACACATCAGCAATAATAATAAGAAGAATAAATCTTCGTGTTGAAATCTGATTAGTTTGTTTATGTAGTTTATTTGTACCAAAAAAATTGATTTGTCAATGAATTAATTGACGAGAATTTATTTACGTATCTAATGTCATGAAACGAGAGCAAACAGCGATTTTCGATAATAAAAAATGCCGAATTTTCTAGATCATGGATATTCTGTAAGTTGTCTAGTGTATGAACTTGGTCATTTTGATTGTAGATATTAAGAAACACAATCCAGTCATTGAAATAAAATTCAGTAATTCAGCAATCCAATAAACAATAGACATTTGGTCCAAATTTAACTACTAGCCAGCTTTTCCCTTCGTTAATGCAAAAACTACAACTATGTTAAAAGTTATGTAAATGATAAGCCATTCAATAGGTTTAGGTTAAGATACATTTGGCAGTAACCAAACAGAGACGTGGTATTATTCCTTGAATATACTGTGGTGTGATGTGACATGAACTTGCTGAATAAACCCAGTGAGATAATAGTAATCTAATAGTTGTAGACCCTAAAGCAATCGAATTTAAATAGGTCATGGTAATATAGTTTGATTAATTCTCCAGGTTCGTCGAAATCTTGAATAAATTATAGTTTCATATGTTTTAATTTTGAACTGCAGACAATAGATAATGTTAAAATCTTTACCTCCTTTGCATCTTCATGATATTAATTCCTACATACAACAGTCACAAAAGATATCATAACTTGAATCAATGCACAATCGTACGCTACAGTGTCTATGACTGACTGATTGATAGTATAAGCAATGATGATATCAAAAGTAAACTACATAACTAAATGAACAGCAGTAATACTAATTTCCTCCCAACTGAATCAATCATTCGGATGTTACTCTATCATAATATCCACTACAGGAAATTACACCACAATCGCAAGCAACAGCACCATAAATTCTACTTATACACACTTATACACAATACACATAATGAATCAACTTAATTTTACTTTCAAGTTTTTTATTAAACTCAACTGATTTAAATGACTCTATCATTTCAATAAATTTTGAATGAGACTTCGGAGCAAACCAATGTTTAATTCTGATTTTATTATTTGTGTATAGAAGAAGCTGCAAAAATGTAACAATATCCAAAGTTCCATATGATTTTTTTTTAACTGTGTATGGGCAACTTTAAAGACAGTACTTACAAGCAACCAGTCACTTCAAAAAATAATCTGAAACCTGAGCAAAACGTTTTTACCAAGAAAAATGAAGTGTTAGCCATTTCTAATATGAAACAAAAGACAAATAGAATAAATAATGAGAAAAATGAAAAAAAAAAGAAGTAAGTGGGAACTACATGAGATCCCTATGACTTACTGTTCAATTTCATTACAACAAACAACAATGGATGTATGATTAACGAGAAAGAAAATGGGGGATTTGTTAATTACGATATCTATCATGACACTTTAATAATTACAAACATGTTAGGTAAAATTAATAATCAGTTACTTAATAAAAACTCATTTTCTCTGTAATTACATATAACAATAAAATAAATAAATAAATTATCATTATTATTATTATTACTAATATTATTAATCCCAAATTAAAAAAATCGAAATACCTATAATAACCAGGAAGAATGATATGTACACCTAAACTAGGTTGACAAATAGTTGCCTGTTGTTTATTATCCATTTGTCGTATACCATCGGTAAATGGTCCAGTGGCATTAATTACACAACGAGCATTAATGGTGAATTCTTTACCAGTTAATCGATCTCGAACACGTGCACCAGACACTGCAGGTACTGCTTCAGAAGTTGGCTCCAATGTGGATTTCAATGAAATTGATTTAGTTTGAGCTGGTTGTTTAAGCAATTCGATAGCTTCAACATAATTAGCAATTGCTGCATTGTAACGAGCTGCAGTCAATGCAATACTTAAACACATACGAGCATCTTCTTGTTGGCCTAAATTGATGAAAAGAAAAAAAAACAGAAACTTTTTTTAAGAAAAGAAAGTTCCACTGAAAAATGACAATGATGATAAGTGTGAACACATAACGAGAAAAAAAGTACAATTATTGATTGATACTTGATTGACAGAGTGATCATGTAATCAAATATTGGGTCGAACAACTAATCTTTATAAACATAAACATACACTATAGAATTGAACTAGAAAAGAAATGAACATTTCAGATTAATTATCCTTAAGCTTTGATTGCTACTAGCTCCGAAGAACCAATAAATGAGAACTTGACCACCATTCACAAAACATTTTCGATTAATTATAATCTATATTTTTTACGTCAACCTGATACTGATGTTGAGCTTAATTTATCGGTAATACTCAAATAAAAGATAAACAGTTATTCACAGTTTTCATTGAAGTCACAAGTTTAGTTTTTTTCATCTTTAATTGAAAATATTTACAAGGTATTTTTATATTGGGATGTATCGTTGATTGACATAAACAGAGAAACAAAGTTACTTTTACTTATCATCGCATTGTTTTATTATCACGGAAAAATCGAAGGTTACCTGAAATTATTTATTACATAACCTATTTATGTATGCGTATATATAGATAAGGTTTTAAGTTGAATGATTGTAGGCACGAGAAATCAATATAAGCTAATACGATTTCCGTCTTAAACCCAAAAGAAATCACTTTTTAAGAAATTAACACATTGATAAGAATACAACGTAAGTTGTGTTGGATATTAGTAACATTGGTCAAAAATATTGACAGATTTTAAAAAGAAACCAACATTAGCATTGTAAAAAAAAATAAAACTTTACTTCAGGTGATACAGATATTTGAAAATCAAGGTAATCTATTAAATTTACATGCTACATAATGAAATAAATATAATCGATGACTAAATCAGAATGAAGAATACAAGCATTTTAAAGAATTTATAGTAAAAAGCAAAAGAAATAAAAAATACAGTTAGCTTTTAGCAAAAAATGCAATAAAATGATGTATCACTGTGACAGATTAGTAATATTTGATGAACAACCCATTCTGTAAATGCTAGGATTGAAAATCAAAGCTATTAATAAAGGCATTGAGGTGAACTCTCATAACTAAACAAGTTAACTCGAAATCGACAACAGATCTTCAAACTGTGGTTAGACAGTTGAAAATATTCATTAAAGAGCCATAGATCCTACATTTGGTATTCCATTTGAAATCTTGAGTGAAGTAATCCTCACTAAGTACCATGTTTAGAGAGGTTATTTATCAGTAACTTGTTCAACCCTCCTAACAATTCTCTTCAATCATCTAAACACAGAATAATGGAGAGTGTGATTTCATATCCTTATTCTTAATAGTGATTAGATTTCACCTTTGTCGATAAAAATCGAACATCAGTAATGACAAGAGACATATTATTAAATGATCCATTAATCTGTAGATATTCCAGTCCTAATTAATGTCAGTTACAGCTTAAATAGCTCAGTAGAAATATCTCCGATTGCGAGACTAGGCAACATAGGTTAGCGCTACATGTCAAGCATTATTTTTCAAAGGATTTCAAATATTAAAAAAGAAAGAGATTTTTGGTTGCATTCACAACTTGTATATAATTAAACAGAAGGATGATGATGATGATGATGATTATAAGAAAAACTTTCAGTTCAAAAACATTATGAGAAACTAGTGAATTTACTTTATCCAATAAAAAATTATTTTAATTGCATTATACTAACTGATTAAAGAGACTAATACCATGGAAAATTGAGTATGATAAATAATAATGTATTCATCATTATCATTGCAGTAGTTTAGTATTACTTATTAAAAAAATATTCAGATTGAAAATAATGTCAATACTGTTTACTAATTTCTAAGCTAGACAATATATATACGCTGGATATCGGTAACAGAATAAAAACACTTAAGGTTTAAGATAAGAGTTTATGAACAAAAAAGAGAGCATTGTAATCTCTAATTACACGGCCCGACCGTAGCTGCTACCTTGACGTGGTGGTGGTCGGGCTTGCCTATCGTCATGACCCAACCGAGCTATACTGGCTGGAACATATGTTCCTGAAGGTCCTACCACGCCAGACAGGTCGATTGGAGAACGATGAGACTAAAACAGCTACCCAGGGTCTGAGGGCGAAATCTTACTGCTGACTGTGATGGGGGAGTGTGACAGCAGTAAGGTGTTTACCTCGGACAACCAGCATCTGCAGCGATACTGCCTTCTCACAAGGAACGAAGGGTTAGAAAAGGTCGACATTAAAAATGTCACACCTCACCTTATCTCACGGATTTCCGTCTCCGGCGGTGAGGGTGCCCACTAAGGGCTTTTAAGAACGGAGCTAATACTCAAAAAACCCTTCATAAAAATGCCATGCGTGACCGGCCTCAAGCAGTTGTCCCTTGGGCTCTGCGGTCACGCACCCAGATCTGTGAGACCAACAGTAATCTACCTTCCTTTTCAGGTTCCTCAAGAAACAACCTTCCACAGTGTGGGCAGCCGCGAAGCGACAACCACCCTCATACCCGTAACAGCACACGAGAGCGAATTGGTCAAAAATTACATGATTATTTCAAAAAGGTCACTCGAAATTCTGTAAGTAACTATATCACAGAGTAAATCTACTATCATCGAAAAATATCATGATTACGATGGAGTTTCGTTCGCAGAGCTGGATGTTTTGCGTTGCGGAGCTTTCAATGTTCTTCTGAACAACATCATCAGCACAAACTTCAGCTCCATAACCACAATATCCGGCTCATAGAACGAAACTCCATCATAATAATCCACCTGAGCTATAAATTTTCTCTCTCATCTCAAAAAGCTAATGGGTAATTTGATTGATAGCACCGATAAAAATAACCATTAGAGACTAGAACATCTTAAGAAAACTTATCTTCACCAAATTTCACTGACTATAGGTTTGTATAAATTAAAGAATTATTTCTATCATACAATTAAAAACCTTGACTAATCTATGAAAAATGTTAAATTGATAGAAACGTCTAATGTATTCTCAATACAATACACTAAGGCTTATAATAATGCTTCATGATATTGTGAAATTTAACCTCAAATTTATAAACTAAAAAAAAGTACATCATTGCAAATACTAACCTTATTACAATCATAGTCTAAATAATGATTTCTAATTGTTAAAATAATAAAATTATTCATGTACTTTTATGATTTTATCAATATGTACGATAAGAAATCATGACTGGCTTTTCCACTGTTCCCTAGTTTCTGATGGTACACATCACGAACTTACATTGATCTGTAATTAACTATAACCTAATTATGTGCCTACATAGTATTTTAAAAATTGTTTATCATTAGGATATGATTTGATTAAATCTGTTTTGTTTTTTTTAATTGTTTTCTCGAAGATTACTGCTATACATTCATCCATTGTACTTGGTCAATAGTTATGTTAAAGTTATTTTGATAAAAATGAAATTACTTACAGTATGTTGATGTACAATAAGTACTGTGTAATGATAACAATACATAGTGTGGTGTTTGTTTCCTTACTTATAGAATATATGTTGTAATATATATGCACTACTTACAAATACAATATAAAAGACAACTAAGTCTAAACGGAATGATATTAACATTATTCAAATGAAAAATAATTAGCACGATAAGAATACGTAATCAGATCAAGTTCATCTGATTCGAAATCTCTCCTCAAAAAAACGATTTTATTTACAACTGATTGATGAACGGGTAATGACTAATGTGATGCTTTTTTTCAAGTCCTTTTTAGCTCTAATTGAATTTCATCCATTAGGTGAATCGATATTACATGCATTATACATTGTCAATACGTCTTATTTGAAGTCCGGTATAGTTTAATAGTAACGTATCTAACTATGAAGCTAAGTGACAAAGGATCGAATCTGTTAGGAGAGGTGAGTACCTTTCAGGTTACAGGTACAACTTACTGACTGGTGCTAAACAGCTTCCTACTATTAAAGATCAAATTCAATAAGTGTAATAGAAGTTATAAAACGACTTGAATGACTGATATTCATGAAAGGGAAACAAACACTGTATTCAATATTGTATATTAGAAACGAACTTACCATCATAATATACCAATCCACCGACTAATTTATCACGTTTCAGTAAAGGAAATCGTTCTAACGCTTGTGATTTATTCAAATAATAACTAGCTTTTAATATTTGAGCACCAGATATTAAGTCGTATAATTTAATACCAGCCCAATAATATGGAACTTGCCACCATCTATAGAATAAACAGTGAGAAAAATGAACAGTATTGAAACAATAACAACACTTGACAGCATTAAATGAGGACAATTTAAAAATAAAATAAAAAAACGTAATCGCATGGATTGATACCAAATTCCAGGTGAGTTGATGAATAAAGAATGTGAAGAAACGTATAGTTCGAATTACACTGTATGTGATGATAATCACCTTGTCGATGTCACGTATAATAATCATAAAGGTTATCATATTTGTATGAATATCAACACCTAGATATAAGCAATAAATGTAAGTTAAGACTCTATTAATAAGAAGAACAATTATACGAGTAAATTATTAACACCAATGAAATTACTCATGATGGTTAGGAGTTGAAAGGATTACCACAAAGCCTGGGACAATATATTAACAAAATCAAGCAAACTGAAAGCCAAATTTATCATGGCTAACGCTGTACTGAGATAGTGGGAAAAATTTGTAGTTCAGGTGGATGATTGTGGTGGTGTTTCGTTCTCTGAGCTGGATGTTTCGGTTGTGGAGCTTTCATTGTTCTTCTGAACAACATGATCAGCACCAACTTCAGACAGAAGTGAAGTTTGTACTGATGATGTTGTTCAGAAGAACAATGAAAGCTCCACAACCAAAACATCCAGCTCAGAGAACGAAACACTACCATAATAATGTTATACTACTGCAGTGCTGGTTTAGGAACACGTCAGGATAACTCAACAATATGATATATTAAATTTTTTTAGTAATAGTAGTAGTCATATTGATTAGAAAAATGAAATAATGACAGATAAGGAATTAGAAAAAAGCGAAAATTCTGACATTTGTCTTGAGTATAGTAAACAGTGTACTTGTTTATGCCATGTAAATAGTAAACACACCACAGACATTCCAATACTGTCTAAAACATGCAACTTTTTCTTCGTGAATATCACAATCTAAGTCCAGTAGTATAACTTATAACACCTCACCTACACTTGAGTCTGTAAGCGTCTAATTTGGTTAAGCCCTTCCATTTAACTTGCGTAACAGTAACAATCTATCTACATCTTTGCATTATTATTGTCCCGTTTAAATGAACGTGTCAGCTTGATCACGTGTTACAACCTAAACACATGTCCCTCATACTGGCTTGAATGTCAGCTGTTCAAACAACCTGATGACTAGCTAACTTTCATTCTCCTGCAGTTGTCATCACTCTTTCGCATCCGAATTTTGTTAGTATTTGCTTCATGTGTTTGTAGTTTTTTGATTTGTACCGCACGATCATAAACGGTGGTCAAAACTTCATATTGTCTTCTAAAATTTATACATCATTGGAAGTTATCTAATAACTAATATACGAAGCGTAAGAACTGTCTAGAAGATAAACCACTAAAAGTCACATACTCGGTCACTCGACTGACACAGAACATTGACTTGATTCGAATAGTCTTTTAAGTAATCTATCTAGTTTACTGTATGGTCAGGGTATACATCTATTGCAAACAGCTGTTATTAACAACCATTTCAACAAACTAAATCCCTGTCTATAAGAAAGCTAGTACAACTGTTTTTGTTAACTTGGGGTTTGTGGTCGCAGGTTTGAACTACTGAGTAGTTCCGTCGTAAGATTAAATAGCTGCATATTATCCCTGGCTTTTCTAATCCGTCTCAAAGAAAAACTGCTTCTTTTCAAAACGGAACTTCTCAGCAGTGCGCCTCCACCCCCTGTAACGAGCGTACTACATGTAGAACGATGATGTGGTGACCTGTGGTCTAAATTTTCAATTTCAGTAAGATAGTTTTAAATGAAAAAGCTCACTTCAAAAATATACATAAACTTACTTATATATAGGCAACATGATTGGTAATGGATAGGCTAGATGTGGAGCTATATCGATTAGATTGGATCGCTCACTAAGTGCCTCATTAACCATACGGAGCTGTTCCATATCTAGATTAAATATAGCCTTTTGTAGATATCGAACACCACCATGAATAAGTTTGGTTGAACGAGAAGAGGTACCCGAAGCAAAATCTAATCTTTCAACAAGGCATGTTGATAAGCCTTTTTGAACAAAAAACACAAAAGAACAGAAGATCATTGTTTACAAAACAATACCTGAAAATGCTTATATGGGAGAAACATAAACATTTATTCATTCAATTAATCATAAATAAATTTCAAAAAACGTCAACATTTTAAATTCCCACCTATATACGTGTACAAAGCATCCAAATGTGTGAAAAAGAATTAAACAATTTGCCAAGATCGATTCAAAGAGGGTGTAAACAAATTTGATTCAACCACATCAAGATTTTTACTCAAAAATGTAAGTTAAATTCTAATAGAGACATACAATGCATGCAATAAAGTTCACTCATGTTCATAATTATTGATTATCTTTATAATTCATGTTAATCTGGTTACGCATGAGAGAAAGAAAATCAGTTTGTTTAAATCTATCTAAGAGAGCACGGGGATTTAAGGGAAAAGGAAAATCCGAAAAGAGGAAGAACAACAAGGTTTGAGGAATAAACTGAATTCATAAGTCTATTTAATGGCTCCTCATCAGCTGCATATAGCATAAATTTACAATTACTGATACAATTAGAAACATATGTTTAACATACTTAAGTATATGGGGATTTTCGGAGACTAATATTATCGAATTTGATATCACGAACCGATGTTAGCTAGACCACCACACAAAAGCTAAAAGCACTCATTGGTTGTCGTATCCCAGTATGGGACTCCCCAGCAGTGAACATCTATGACCCTGCACGCGGGAACCTGACCCAAGAACTCCATCCTCAGATGTGAACGCATAACTTCTAGACCACTGAGCTGGCATCCAACGGTGTTAACATCTAACTTCAACCAGTTTATGAGTTTCCGTAACACTTTACTCATTACCTGCGGTGAAAACCACGATAATAAGAAGCAGAACAGAACACAAAGCATATGAACAAACATAGTTAAGATTGATGTGCACTTGTTTAGGAAAGTAATCGTAAGGGGTATAATAGGTGTTATAGTTACTAGTAATCATAATCAAAATGAAAGAGGTTATTTAAAAATAATAAAATTAGTAAGTAGGTTGAGTAATAGTTCAACATGAGTCAGGGAAAGGTTAGTAACACTTCCTTCTGTATACATAAGTCAGGTCGGAAATATTTGATAGCAATTGCCTCCACAAAATGGAGTAAGATTGATGATTGTTGTTTGCTGATTATTTCGAATGAATTACTGACATAAGGTTGTATGCAGCTGAAGAGAAACCATGGAATAGAACTAGTTCATTTTATTCTGAAAACCTTGCTGTTCTTACTCTGTTTTAAATCTATCTAAAGACCAGATTGTATGGAATAGAAGGACTGTCTGCACGTTGAGAATGAGGATATGAAACGACTTTGCTCATTGTAAAATGATTTCAATGTTGCTGAAACATACACTAATAGGCTTCATTTCTTATTATGGATCTAACACTCAGAGAAAGCGGTATTAGTGGACAGGTGGCAACGAATGAATTTCAGAACACACTGTCATAAACACGAAAAGTATGACAGTATACAATAATAGGTCAACTTAAACAAATAGATATGTCCCAACCAACACAAAACTCAAGTTTTCATAACTGAAATTCAAATAAAACTCAAGCAAAACAGTAACAGACGACATTCATTTAATGAATGATAACAAACCTATACTTCTATTACAGTATGATTATACAACTAAAGTTTCTTCAGACTGCTGACAAAGTCGGTTCAGATTTGAACCTTTTACGGAAAGTTATGTAAGAGCGAAAGAGAGAGAAAGACAACTGCTTAAACAAATAAATAATTACAATATAAATAACCGTCCTTTATTAAAGAGACCCGTGGAAAAAAAATCATAGAAATATCGGCTGGAACACATACTGCACTCGCTTAAAGCAAACAAGTGAAGAAAATCGGAATGGCATGGGATTCACTTATAAATTTAGATGTGCATAACTTGACCTACATGTTGAAGTAAACAAATTTAACTGATTACGTTAGCCAAAATAATATATCATCGATCTAGTGAATAATAAAATACCTACATACCAAATGATTTTCTTTGCTAATTGAATGATTTTAAATGACAACTATGAAAAACCAATTTATTTAACAGTTGATTGCTCTTTATAGTCATTTTAATTGAATGCAATTTCTTAATACCTAGTATGTGCAATACAACATACAATTGTATGATATACAATGAATGACCTTTTTAGTTATGTCATTATAAATACTTCTAGGTTATATTATAGATCGATATCGGTTGAAGGCGCAGTCAAAACTAGGAAGTATCAGGCAAATGTTTTGGTATAGATTCGAATACACACAGATCGAATCTAGAAGCTTGTAGATTTTCTCACGGTAAACATAGTACTTTTGGATTACTCAATTAGGATTTTATTGTCCATGTTTCCAGATCCAGGCGATCCAAAACATATTATGATAATTTAGTGCTATTGGGAATATCCGCATCAATCATAACATGCATGAGCTTCGCTGGTCAAAGTTCCTCACAAATAACGATGCAATAATTTAATTTATCCAATTAGAAGTTATTTTCGACCAAAAACCTCGGCGTGGAGCCCCTCTGCAGGTCCCATGCTCGGATAAAGGAGCGGGTTTGGCATCAGCTTAGAGACCCTGTCCCATAGAAAAATAACTGACAAAAAAAATGCTAACCAGAGAAAATAAGTCGAAACATTTAAACTCAGAACTGAGAGTTAGAAGGTCTTCATTTAGAAGAGTTATAACATCTCATGATGGAAGCCAAGTCCCTTCGGAAGTCACGAGGCCAATGTCCCTTCTGACAACTAGCTCAAGTGTTAATTTAGGTACATGGAATGTTTGTACAATGTTGGAGACCGGGAAAATCATCCAAGTTGATACAAAAGATACAATAGTTCATTAACAGTTGTCTACGCAAAATACTTCGGATCCGTTAGCCAGATACTATCAGCAACAACCTACTGCAGTAGAGAACAAATCAAATTCCAGCGGAGGAAGAAGTCAAGAGGAAGCGCTGGAAGTGGATAGGATACATATTGAGGAAAGTACCTAACTGCGTCACAAGACAAGCCCTTACCTAGAATTCTTAAGGTCAAAGGAAAAGAAGGCCAAAAAACACATTGCGCCGAGAAATGGAAATAGATAGAAGAATAAACAGGAATCAGGAGGGATTGGAAAGGAAGGACCAGGATAGAGTAGGTTAGAGAATGATAGTCGACAACCTCTGCTCGACTAGGGGTAACAGGCGAAAGGAAGTTCACCAAGAGCTGGGATTGACAGACAAACAGATACAAAAAAGGACTTCGTACGTATGTACATCAGTTCAGGTTTCCACACCACATTAGCACAGAGACGCAACTGTCAGTTCAAATCCAAGAGTGGTAGCGATAGTAGAAGTATTAGCAGTCATGGAGAAAATTAGGGCATAATTCAGTGAGATAAAGTTAGAAAGAGAAAGATAGAGATTATGAGGAATTCAGAAGGTTAGAATTTGAGAGAACACAAAGAGTGAATGCACCTGTACTATTGCAAATGATTTTGAGCCATGTCGTTCAAGGTCTCTAACCATCGGTGACTTCCTTCTCGCGGACCCCAACCAGGTAGCCTACGTCTACCAACAAGAGCTGGGATTGCCTAGAGAACTAGTGAAAACGAACTAAGTTCTACAGGTTGCATCTTTGATTGCTGAGTTAATTCCTTTGAATGTTCACACTGGAGCAGCATCAATAACTATCACACAAACAGTGTGATCTGAGGTTGAGTACACTAACCTTTACTTATTAAATGAGTTGAACATATATGATGTTATTCCGGAATGAATACTAATTTTAAGGTGAATAGTCTTCACAAATTCTTTATTTTAACAGATATAACGTGGAAGATATAAAATCAAAAGCGTTTTAAGAACTCCATAAAGGTGTCTTGTACAAAGTTAGCAGTAGGTGAGTAAATAACTATCTTTAATAAAACTTTAGACAAATAGGCAGAATCTACTAATCAATATTGAATGCAGCTGAAGTAACCAATAGTTAGTTAAGTGGTTCATATTACTATCATATTTGCGCCGTCAGACTGTTAATTAACTAATGAGAAAAAAATCACATTTATGTGGTGTGTTTAAAGTACATCATATAATACTAATATCCACAGTCCAACTTATGACTATAGAAATAGACTGTGGGTAGCTTAATATATCCACTTAAATTTCGATCTGTTTGGTTTTTTTTATCATAAAACGAATCTTGAACAATCTTTAAAAGAAACCCCATTCAATTAATTGATATTTTTGGTAATGTGTATGTTATGTTCAAGAAATTACACTACAATAAGTCAGACAGTAAGTTTTAGTTGTAAACTGAATCAAAATGATAATAATTTATTATGGATAGTTTTCAGTATACTTATCATTGAACGGTAGCTTGATAGATGATAGAGCACTCAATTTCCTACTAATGTGGACTGGATTTTTATAAACACTTTTAACTACTTCAGTTTAGGCAACCAGGTATGATTATTAACTCTTCCACAATTAAAGTGTTCCATAAAACAATATCTTAGAAAGAAAACTAGTAATCATATTACGAACTCTGTGTATCGATGCATAAACTATGCGTTGTTAGTGGTCATAAAAAATCTCCAGTTCAGCTTATCTGTATAGTAATGAAATGATAAGTTCACCCAAGGAATAAAATATAAAACATTGTTATTAACCAATTAGCATTACACGTAGTATATTGGCTTTTCTTCTTAAAAATAAAAGCGCAGTTTCTTTAACCAAATTATTAAAATATAAATCAACTAAATTCTTTGACATTTTTCAAAAACGACTTAACTAACTCGCGTTTTTTGACTTAAATTTATGTCAACTTTAAGGCATACCGTGAAACATAGTAAACTACTCTTATTTGGGATAGTTGTTGTTATTCGATATGAAAAAAAAACACGGAAATTGTAACTCAAAAAAATTGACCCATCTATAGGTTAATACACGGACACTTGTGATTATTGACTCGAATTGCCTTGATTGGTTAAACATTTTCGTATAAATATTCATGTATATTAGAGTAAAGCCTGATGACGATCTAATCGAAAACAATATTGTTCGCTTATATGTGTTGTTCTAATTTTTACAATCGGAATCTTTCATACACAGACACTTGTTTATGAAAGGTATTGTTGCTGAGTTGCTAAACAAAATGAGATTTTCATAGCAGGATTTGAATTAGTAACTTGTAAGATACGAATTAAGTCCATTGACTATTAACCAATCACACTATTTGAGAAATCGAAAATTAGGATATGATAATTATGACAGACAAGGGGAGAAACCTTATTTACCTGAAGAAGTTCCAACTTACTCTATATAAGAAATAAAATAATCAGACATAAACTGAAGTGTTTGTCGAAGTCTCTCGGTTGAAAAAGAATAATGATGCAACAAGAATGAATTATTTTTACATCGCGTCAAACTATTGCATCAGCAAAATTTTAAATTTACGATTAATTTGCTGTAGCACTGGACTTGAAATAATTAACTTATTTCATTTTGTTGGACTAGTATTACTACTAATTTATACATAATGCATATATTCTGCATGTAAATTATAAACCTTTACATGAATATCGAGTAGTATTACACTATGATGTCAACAACTTTAGTTATCTCATGAAATAAAAACTAATCAATCGGTATATTTTCTTTAGAATAGTGGAATACACAATAAACAAACATTTTCCGTAAACTTGCGGTCTAAATAGCCTACACAAACACACCCCTCATTATTCAAAAAAACAAGAGAAGCTTGATGTGAACGAATGGGCTACATTATTTAATTATTTTAACTAATTTAAAAGAAACAGGTACAACATGAGAAGTTTACTCACTGGTGAGCATCGTGGTTTTGTAAAAGAAACTTGTTTAAATATTGTGCTAAGAATTCCATACAGTACTAAACATACTGTATCGAATAAAACCATTAGTTGAAAGTCAAGTGCCTTAGACGCTAAGTTTAAAACTAGGCTTACCATGTCTTAGAACAATCGGGTTATTGTAGAACTACTACTAGTATTATGGAATTTATTGGTTATTTTCGCACTTGAACTCTTCAATATAATTGATGGGCGTTAGCGTTAAATTGTAAGTTGATTCACAACAGAGATATGACATCTTAATACAACTTTACAATCCTAAATAAAGAGAAGTTATTGATGAAAGCTTTTTATATAATTTCACCGTTTTTTATTACTGAAGAATAAGCATTATTATTGTGATTAGTAAGTATCACCGATTGTAAGGCAGAAAAACGTTTTGAGTACTACTCAAACAATCAATTTTAAGCGTAACTTCCTGGAAAAAGCCGAAAGGAAACCATTGGGTTTCACCAACTCTTTGCCATTATCAGTAGATATACGTTTCTTCAATTCGCTAATTATGTAAGTAATCCAGCACCAACTTATTATACTGTCAGTACGTTATCTATCCAATATTACAGTTCTTTTACATTATTTATGTAGCCATTTACAAACATAATTATTTGATATTTTAAAAGAAATCCAATGAATTAACCGAGTGAATTCACTGTATTAAAACAACAAATAATAACTAAATATTTAACGAGATAAACATTTTAATCAAGAAATTTAATCAGAACTGATCATCAAAGCCTGTTTAACGACAAAAATAGAGTCAAATAGACAGCTATTACTGACTGAAGACCAAAATCTAGAACTAAATAAAAACAATGTATCGATTCAGTTAGTTACACTTGGAAACTATGGGGCTTAACTGAAAATACAAACAATACTGATAGATAGTAAGTCATTAAAGAGATAAAATGACGAAAGGAACTGAAGTGATGCAACACACAGTAGTCGACGACCGATGTTTTGTGGTGGGGAAGTAGGTTGAAAGAAACCTAGAGGTGGCCATACCAAAACATGGCACAAATCCATGAAGTCACTGACCAGAGGACTTATTCATGTTGGTAGATGTATATACCTGGTTAGGGTCCATGAGACACTAGTAACCGATGGTTAGAGACCTTAAATGACATGGTTCAAAATCGTTTGCAATGGCGAAGGTGCATCCACTCTCCGTGTTCTCTCAAATGCTAACCTTCGGGGTTCCTGATCACTCTTATCTTCTTCTTTTAAGTTTATTACACTAGATTCTACTTCTTGAATAATATCGTCGAACCCTAATCTCTCCGATTACTGCTAATATTTTTAATACCTCTGCTACCATGAGATTTGAATTGACAATCGCGTCTCCGTACTTACTTGAACTGATGTACGTAGGTACGAAGTTCTACGTTGTAACTGACTGAGAACACAGTAGCGCATAACAAAACTTGCAGTATGATAAAAACGTATTGCATAAATGTTACTGTTAAGTTTTCAGACATCTTATTCAGAGACCTAAATCACTAATTTCTATTACCTAGAAAACCCTACCCACTTTTTGAAAATGTAGATAGCTAAACTTCAAGATTACTTATTAATGTGATACATTAGAACAATTCTGTTAACAAATTAGGATTTAGAAATTCTTCTAGTACTTTGAATAAGTCAGAGTAAGCATAAGAGAAAAAGTTATTGTTTACGTCAACAGGTGCAGTGACAACGATCTTGGTAAATAGATGAAAATGTTCACTTTTACAACCTACCTCTAGAAGCAGCATCTAACGCTACACCAGCACCAGTTGCCCCACCACCAATTACCAGAACATCGAAAACTTCACCTGATGCCATTCGTTTAAGGTGTTCCTCTCTAGTTGGCAAAGGTCGTTCAAAACGTTTTAATTCCTGTTCTGAAGGTTTAGGTTTCGACAGTAAGGCCTGTCAGTGTAAAATATAATAATGGGAATATGAGCTTATTAAACCACGTAACTAGAGATTGCTCAATCACATAAAAAGGCTAAATCGAAACTACAATGGCAGATAGGAACTTATGATACGGCAATACCAGTTACTGCATTGGTCCATCCATTTTTTCAAAATTGTGTTTTAAAGGAATAAGCAGGTGTTTGGGAATGAAAAGCACCAAACTCTTTAGGTTTTTTTACGAGAAGAGCCAAAATCTAGAAGATCAAAAGAATGCAATATGCAGTCTCTGGGAAAATGTCTTTGGAGAAGTCGTTGAACTAATGCCATCATCGATGACCATTGAAAACTGGAGAGCTGTGCAAACGAAGATAATTCATGATGGTGCTAAGGATTGGTCTGATTATGCTCGGGATTGCAAGCATTTTTAGCGTTACCGAACAACAACTTAGGCAAACAGGAACAGAACAGAATGAGTATAATTTATGACTGATGAATTGAAGTACGACAAGCATAATAGCTAGATTATTATGACAGGCTCCTGTTTGTTCCTACCTAGGAATGAAAACCCTGGCTTACATAACAGAGTTAGCAACTGATCGACAATTAGTGGCATGTCCCTAGTATTGGTCAAATAATATAGGCCATTAGTAAAACTTTTAAAACAGGATGGTGGAGCTAAGTACGACGTCATATGACACTAAGGGATACAAGTTCCTATTGCACGATAAGCATCAGTTTTTGAGGTGACTTTCGTTCAGTCGACGTCAAAATTACTTTTGTTGCATTAGTTAACTAAACGTTACTTCTCGTTAAGCTGACACTTTCTCAGTTCAATACTAAACTGCATCATTCCGGTGATATTCGATCAGTTTGATAAATTTTTCAACTAGTATTCACTGATATTAAACCCGTATGATGTGAATGTATTCGAATGATTTTTAATGCCCTTCAGTTTTACCTACAAACCTTCTGGAAAATCTTGTACTTCTATCTCCAGTTAGTGAACAGAGGAGAAGAGAATGAGAAGTAGTATCGACCAGTATCATCGACATCGGAGTCGGAAATTGTCAGCTTAGTACACAAATGTATCATAATTATAGACAAAAATAAAACTTAGATTCATAGTATATTATCGATTGCTTCCAATAATATTGCGTGAAAACAACCGATGAGACGTTGAGTCATTTAGACTGGCAGTTATACCCCAACTTGATCAAAAGAATTAGGTTAATACTAAGGACCAGACAAACATGGCGTCGGTCACTACTGTGTGATATGTCAGTAAACACAGTGAGCTGTTATAGTTATGGACACTCCATCCAGTTTCCGAACAAACACTAGCATATTCGTGCGAAAATTGATTCATTTATTCAAAATTTTACTCATTTATTATTATTTTCGTAATAAGTACTTTACCTTTGTCCTTCTGGCTTCGTTCACCTTGGGGACAGCTTCCATTAAGAATGCAGCGCCAACGCCAGATAGCGCCCCAACCAGAACAAGCTTTTTGCTTATTTTTCGAAAAGTGGACATCTGCATAAAAAAATTTTTTGATTAATTAATGCACCACATTAGCATGGAAAAACTCAATTTTGAGTAATTACATATGTCCGTAGTAGTTAGTATTGCCAACATAAAACCACTGACCGAAATCCAGGACGGAATTTCCCTAAACTATGTCAGAAGAAATTTCTTTGACGAAGACAAACTATCATTGTTTAGCAGAAGGCAACAAGGACTAAGAATAACGATCACAAATACAGACATGTTCTTGAGATATAATGCATTATTGTGAGTGAATCTAAGTTCTGAGGAATCCAGAAGACTAACCGCTTTAATAATGCGTTGCTAGAAGTTTTATGTCGCTCATACACAGTCTAGCATGTCAAAGCCCTACTCATACCAATAGTTAAGTTATTCCTTATTTTTATAACAAACGAAAATCTTTTATCAGAATGATTTACATGTGAAAAAGTGGCCAATCAACTGAATTAATGATGAGATCTGAGTATTAAAGAATTATTTCGAGGCTTTGGTAATCACTGTCGAAAACTAGAAAACTTCACCGCACTTAACCAGTACAAGATACGCAGTAAGTTAGCTACAAAGTAGAACTTCGTATGTAGGTACATTATTTTAAGCTGCTATACCACATAAGATATACGATCTTACTCTTAGAAACTGTTTGCACTAAACATGTGTTGATGGTATTATAGAACAACATTTAAAGCCTAGTTCCTCAGTGCTTTAAATCCAATGTCTCCTAGAAACAGAATTTTCCACACAACCAATTTTTACAAAGTGAATAACTGTTAATTTAAAGGTTTCTACGAAATACTCCCCATAACATCCCAAAAGAGGTATATGTGGAGGGCATAAGACTCATATGAACTTCAACAATGCGAGACTGAAAACTACGTTAGGTAGGACATGGAAGGAGAACTTAATGAACTCCAAAAATCCTGAATATTTCCAGATAGAAACGGACATATAACTGAAACAGTAAAAAATTTACGCTAAGAAATATATCCAAAGCTTATAAGCTCTCCTGTTGTTCTGGTTGCAATAAAAACCAAAACATGGAAAGCTAAACGATGTAATAATATACAGTAGCAGTACATTGTTAAATAGAATGATAATCATTCTCAGTGACTGAATGTCTTTATCTATAATGTTATGGAATGCTTCAATATGTTGGAATGGAAACAAATTCATGGAATGAGTTCCAAATTTTATAGTCATAATTTTCGAAAATGAAATAAAGTTCTAGTACATATGAGGATTATTTTTGAAAATTTTCGTGGCTAGGAGACTTGGGAACCCAAAAAATGCAATCCAAAAATTAGTGGACTTAAAGTCCCGACACTTACAGTTAAACCTCCCGCTAAAGGCGATTCTGATCTTACCTCCTCGAAAAGTTCAATTAACTGGATGGCAATATCAATTTTGTATGTCTGAAGAGCTATTGCTTTTACTCTAAATTAATTTCAGTTAAAGAAACACCAAGAGCATCTTTTTCAAAAGCAGTTTTGTATCTGTACTCTTTTTAGTATATTTCTTTTTATTCTTGTCGCATCTCGATACTTTATGGATCCTGGTTCATCCTTTTAGATTATCAGTTTTGTCTCATAATGTGTTTGTGTCTCAGATGTTTGGGAACCTCTTTCGATGACTAAACAGTCCAAAAGAAGCAGCAGCCGGCACATCGATATCTGATGAAAACTGGCATGAAATGAGATGAGTGCTAAAGAAGCTCGTACGAATCGAACATACAGCTTTCAAGCGGTTTATAAAAACGGATGCTTGTAGCTACTATGTCAGCAGTCCTACTTGGCTGCAAACGGCTTGTTATCCAAAGTTACTGCAATGTTGAACGCCACTAAAACATACTAACTAGCGCATCCGTGATAGGACCAATGTCGATACACAAATCGGTGCTGCCCAAGGTGGTACTTAAATCCTTCTCTCGAACTGACTGATTACTGTAGAATGGACATAAATTAGAAGGATCAAAAGTTCACGTCTACAAATACTTGTCTCTAGCGGATCATATAAAAAACTAAAAGCCGAAAAAAAGCTGAAATGAGGGTTAGAAGTTAGTAAGGGGAATCATATGATTTTAAATTTTTGGGTTATAAAGCTTTCATAGAAAATGAGCACGAATACACTTTTGGTTCAATATTAAGCTACCTATATGATCTTTGGATCTGTTACAGTAATTGCCGGAGCTTATTTTACAAACAATCTGGCTAACTATGCAGTTAGACCTTACCAAGTCAGGTGTGATCACTGTCATAAAAACTTGGCCGATGCCGTCTGCAGGCAATTCGAAACTTTATTTTAAAAATTCTGCATTAGTTACGGCCGACCGAATTCTAAGGGTAGGGGAGGAAAAGCAGCTTCATTCATTAGCAACACTATCCTCTTTTTCGTTATCGATAACATATCCTATGAGAGTGGAACGTGTCAGTTAGTTAGTCAACCCTTAAATTCAAGAGTAAGAGCTACTGATTGGTTTACCTTATTCAAACCAGTAATTTGGAAGATGAGCATGCAAGAAACAATGTACCGAGAATCTCCAGAGGACTGGATAATAGAACCAGAACCTTTCATTGAAATGAATTGAGAGGTATTCAGATACTTGGTAACTGTACGATGAAATCCCATAATCGAAAGGCCCGAACTGTTTATACGTCAGGCACAAGCAAATCTACAGATCCGTATAAAGAAGAGCTTATTAGGAAGTCTAGAATGCCCTGATTGGTTCTTTCTTCAAAACAGATAAGAGACAAAAACCTGAGAACTTTCAACATGTGTGGTTGATAAGTTTTAGAAAAGATTATTTATTATTTAACTATGTCGACAGAAAATAGATTCTTTTTGAAAAGCGGCATTACTTTAGGATAGGCTATTTATCTATTACAAAAACACATTGTTAGCTAGTGGAAAATGCCTAACGTAGTCCCATCAAATAATTTATTATCAAAGTTAAAAGATATCGGAATTGCAGGCAATTTATCCGCATGAATAGAGGGTTTGATGGTTCGACATTAACAGTGTCGTCAAACTGGTAAACTGTGCTTTGTGTGGTGCCTCAAGGCGTAGTCTTGGTGATAATACTGTTCCTCTTGTATGCAGACGACATTCCTGGACTCTTATAATCGGTTTAATAATAAAATCAATTCCAACCGAACAAGAGTAGAGAAACTTAAGGCACAAGCTGAATACACAGACGCAAACAGTAAAGTGATGAAGGGCATCAGAGCCGACAAACAAAAATATGCGGATGATCTAGCAATGACGGCGTAAAAGGGTGCAAGAGAAGGAAATATGAGACGACTGTACGATGCAACAAAGAAGCTCTCCGGAAACTATCGTAAGCTTGAACGACTAGTGAAGTATCCAGTAACACTAATAGTGTTAGTATAAAAGTAGAAGACTGTCAAAACTAGTTACTTTGGGGATTTATCTACGGCAACAGTCTCGTTAGACTAGCCAGTCTAGTCGTCAGGTCAATGGAAAATATTATTTGAACAGCCGTTCTAGAGTGCGAGGGAGACAATAATCTTCTAACCGGAGAGCAACATGATTTCAGGGAGCACTGTTCATGTTTGAAAAATCTCTGTGAGAGACAACTTGAAACTGGATAGAATTTTTTGCTATCCTGGTAGATCTACTTTTCATAGATCTAAGTAAGGCTACTGAAACGTTCTATGACTTGGGTTATAAATTAAAGCTGAAAAGCATTGACAGTCATTATGCAACTAAAAATGGATAACCTTTTCAATCCTGAATGAAAGACAACGATTACGTGTAAACGGAGTCTCATCAACACAAGAATCTATAAAGAATGGCGTTCTTTCAGTCATGACCCTTCTTTTTTACTTTATATAAATGATTTAACAAATATAACTAGGTCCTGCTCTTTCTGGATTACATCAAAATTAGAGACACGTAAACTGAATGTTAGGTGCTGCGTCTCGGATCCCAGTAATGTCATTAATCTGATTTCTCCTTATCAGAATAAAGAAGCAACTCGATTTACTTTTCATGTATCCGGTAGCCCTGATGCTGCTTCCAGGGGTCTCGCTGGTGTAGGTATGGCATTGAGTCGTGGAGCTGAACGATCTCTCCTAGAGTGGATCCCTGTAGATAGTCGCTTATGCGCTATCAGACTAAACGGGACAGTAAGGACTCGGAGAGATAGGGACACCCGTCGTTGCCTGTTTGTCGTATCTGCCTATGCCCTCACTGACTGCAGTGCAGACGAGGTTAAAGATGAGTTTTACAGAAAACCCTCGGACCTCCTCCAAAAAGCTAGGCACTCCGATATAGTAATAATGGCTGGTGACTCTAATGCTCAAGTAGGTAGACTAAGTGAAAATGAAAGACACCCAGGTGGGTGTTATGGTCTCGCGGCTCAGAGAACAGACAATGGCGACCGCCTATTTCTAGCAAACACTGACTTTAGGCATAAGGAAAAACATCTTTTAACCTGACGATCCCCAAAGTCGTCTCAACGTTGGACTCAACTAGATCATATCGCCATCAGCCACCGAGGTAGAGGCTCGATAGACGACTGTCGCTCATTCTGGGGCACATGTTTAGATCACGCCATGGTGCGAGCTCGTATTTTTTTTGAGGCTTACTAAATTTAGGAAAGACACCGTAGAGAGCATCTTAGGGTTTTACCTAATGATAATAAGTCGAAGAATATATTTCAGGAACAACTAGAAAAAAGGTTAGGCGACCATCTAAGCGATTCCCATCCGGAAGCAGGTTGGAATGATATCAAAAAGACTGTGGAAACAGCAGTGATATCTGCTAGTAAGGTTAACCATAAAGATAGAATGAAGCCGTGGATCTCAGTTGCATCTACCGAACTGATAGAGGCTCGAAACTAATCCTATCTGGCTATGAACATGATGAAGAACGAAGTCAGCTTAAGCGCAGACTGATAAAAAGACTAAGCAACGACCGCGAACAGTGGTGGGTGGCGAAATCAAAAGCGATGGAAAAGGCAGCGGCTATAGGCAACAGTAGACGACTTTTTCGACTTATCAAAGAAACCGGTATTAGGAAAGCGAATGTGAGTGAGACTATCTCGGAAAAGGATGGTTGTATCATTTATTCTCGATGGGAAGAACACTTTATGGTTCAGTTCAACTGGGCTCGAGCCACTCTTCGGTTACCCACGATCTCCAGTCATCCTGGATGGCAAGTTGACGTACGCCCTCTGAACCGTCATGAAGTTGAAAAGGCTATAGGAAACCTAAAGCGAGGGCGAGCTGCAGGTCCTGAAAGACTGATCCCTGATATTTTCAAGGATGGTGGTCCAGCTTTAGCAGTTAGATTGACTGAAATGTTAGGTAGAATCGGGGAACTGGACACAATCCCATCCGACTGGTCTCAATCCTTGATTGTCCCAATTTATAAGAAAGGATATAATTTTTCTTGTGACAATCACAGGGGAATCAGTCTAACTAATATAATTTCTAAATTGTTAGCCTCGATTACACCTAGACACCTTTCTAGTGCTTATGAAGAGCAGACACGAGAAAACCATGCTGGTTTCCGACCCCGACGTGGATATATAGACAACATCAACAGACTTCAGTCCGTCGGTATTAGTGGCCACCTGTTGCAATGGATTAGGTCGTTCCTCACAGACAGATATCAGGTTACCAAAATCAACTCACATACATCTACACCTCGACCAATTACCAGTGGTGTTGTGCAGGGCAGTGTTTTGGGTCCACTACTTTTCATAATCTACATCAACAGCATATGCAGTTGTTTCAACACTGGTAAAACCTACCTCTATGCGGATGACCTAAAAGTGATTTATCAAACTAGCAAATCTGACTTAGGAAACTTGTTGCACACAATCCAGCACGAACTCAATACTGTAGATGTCTGGTGTAAGCAATGGAACCTTGAACTTAATACTGAGAAGTGTGGCTGGATGTGTTTCGGAGACGCTGCTCCCAAATTAGATCTCATTCTCAACAGGAGTGTATTGCCCAAACTCACATCCGTAACTGATCTTGGAGTGCATTATTCGCACAACCTTAACTTCTCCGAACATATCTCCAATAAAGTTTCTCGAATGAGAAGAATGCTTGGTTTCATCTTTCGTAACTTCCTTCATAGAGAATCCAGAACAATTCTCTATAAAACATGCGTAAGACCTATTGCTGAATACTGCTCTTTCTTATTTTCTAACGTACGCCTGTCTGATATGTTGAAACTTGAAGGAATACAAAGGAAATTTACTCGTAAAGTCCTAAATCATAGCTCACCCATTGACTATCCAACCCGATGTATTGAACTCGGGCTCGATCCATTATGGAAAAGAAGGCTTAAGTCCAATCTGATCCTTTACTTTAAACTCCTGCACAAGCTCACATATTCCTCCTGC